GATCTCCTGCACTCTTTTGCATTTGACTATTTGGGTGAATATTATAAAAGAACCCTGTAAATTATATGTCCTGTATTGTTTCCCTTGTAAATCCTGACTACAATGCACACCCACTTCTTTCATTAATATGCAGTGATTGTCCCCATGTTTATATTTATTGATTCGAAATTTCTTCTCTTACCCTCGTTTATTCTACTTTTACTGTTTAAATCCCATCTCATTTTTATATTCTGCTATGTCCATATAATTTCTAGTCCATGATGGCAGATACATAAAGAAAACTATCTAGTGTAACACCCATCTCTATTTTTAAAAATGTATCTCATTGTATGACATTTAACATCATTTGAGAGGATTTGGAAATATGCAGTGGCCCTGGTACTGGTGTAATTTCTCAGGAAGCTCTAGGCTATTCTTGGATTTTCTCTCAGCTCACTAGGTGTCGTTATTTAAAGCTGAAGATGAATGTCTGAGATATAATACCTAATCCTCACATACCAGTTGCCAATGCCAGGGAGATTAGGTATGTGTGCATGTGTGTGTGTACTGTGTGTGTGTGTTTACTACAATCCTCACCCACAGTGTGGTGCTATAGGAACTGGGGCTTTGAGGTAGGAATTAGGCCTTAAGGAGAGAGCCCTCCTGAATGGAATTAATGCTCTTATGAAAGGGACTTCAGAGACCTCTCCTTTCTGCCTTATAGGACTACAGAAAAAAAGATCCCTTATCTGACTGTTCTGCCATCTTGATCAGAGACTTCCAGCCTCCAGAAATGTTAGAAATAAATTCCTGTTACTTAACTACCCAGTCTATGAAGTTTGTTACAGCAGCCCAAATTAAGATACTACTCAATAGTATATTAGAAGTAGAATTGATAAATAATATGGAAAAGAATGCTCATATAGTTGAAAAGTAAAACAACTTCAAAAGAGTGTGTCACTTTCACATAAGGTTTAGCCATGGAGGCCTCTGAATTTGATGGTCATGAACCCTGCTGACAACAGATGATTGAGAATTTATCTGGGCTTCATTTGTTTGCATATAAACATATTCCCAAATTTTAAGAGTTTCTCCTCATACTTTAATAAATCTAGAATATGATCTGTTTCTTATACCTATTTCAATCAGATTAAGAATAATTATATTGACTTAAATTATATTTGAAAGCTCCTTTTGTAGAAATTTTTGAAATATATAAAAACACATAAAAGCATAATAAATCTCCATGTACTTGATATGGCAAGTGAGTCCACTGAGAAAGGTATTCACAAGAAAACTGAAAAGGCATGAACTAACGAAGCTTTATTTCAGCCAGGTGATGGACAGTCTCTAATCAGGAGTTAGAGAAGATGTCCATGCCGATCTGGGTCTCACCTTCAGTTTAAGTACATTTTAGCAACCAGTACCTCATTTTGGGCAATCTTACAAGAATGTCACACAACTATCACAAAGTTTACTTCTCCCAAAAGGTCAGACAACCCAATTCCAAATGACCATTGCAGTTTAACTTTTAGCCCACTTTCCAATTTTTTGTTCTGTTCCCATTTTATGACTCTGCTTTGCTGAGTTGATAACTAACCAAGGCAACTGAGGTGAACCACAGCTTAAGTGAATTTTAAGTGACTTCTCTTAATATGGAGTTGAAAACAGAAAATGGAGTCTCTCTTGTCCTATCATACTCATCACTTAGATTTAATAATTGTCAGATTATGGCCAACCTTATTTTACCTATACTTTCCATATCTCCTCCCATATTATTTTGAAACAAATACCAGACAAAAGTAATTTCATTTTTAATACATCAAAATCATATTATTCTCCAACTAAATAAGCCTAAAAGAAAATGGATGAAATGAGAAGTAGAAAGAGAGAAAAAGAAGGGAGGGAGGGACCAAAGAACTAAGAAACCAAGAAGGAAGAAAAGTATGAAGGAGGTAAGAAAGCACACAGTCTATCACTTTATTCCTATAAATGCACATTCAGATGAAGTAATAAAACTTTGATCTGGTGCAAGATTTTTTCATTTTGTTTTTTTAATTTTGAAGAAAATAAAAAATTTTAAAAACATTAAAAATGATACAGAATTTCAAAGCAAGATAATAGGAAATCAACAATGGTTATTATATTGAATATTGTTATCTTCATAGTTATTTGGATCACCAGAATTGCTTCATTTTGAAGATAAAGTTCAGTTCATTCTCAGACTCATTGATCCTGATGCCTGCATAGTTTAGACACTTCTGGGTTATATTTAGATTCTGAGAGATCATTCAATTCTACCAGATGGTGGATTTTATGGCTCTAGACCCTCTATACTCTGGATTTCTTTATTTTGGTGAAAATAAACAAATAATAGAAAACTTCACATTTTTCTGAGTCTTGGTTTTATTTTGTTATCATTTGAGTTAAAAGACTTGAAAAGAGACAGGAAAAATTTCACCCTAAGGAGGATAATCACCTAACTTTCCTATCTTTTCAGATACAAATTATAAACATCTCCTAAGCTCATAAATACAGGGGCCCATTCTTGAAGGCCCTTGGGATGAGCTGAAGCTAGGGCTATTTTACTGACTTTGGACTATTTTGACCTCCACAGGGAGATAGGGAAGGAAGCCAAACCTAAGGCTCAATAGCAAAAGAATCAAAATTATTTTAAATTACCAATGCAGTGTTTATGGAATGGGGCAATATTTTTCATAACCAAGATCCAAATGTTGCTGTTCAGTGGACTGATGATCAATCAGCAATGGCAGAGAAGTAAGCACTTTTGATAAGTAGATGATTTGGTGCTATGTATGCTGGCGTAACCTCCAGAGCCTATGCAGGAGAACAACTATTCAAGCAAAACAATCTCTAATATAACCATCTCTGTCTCCTATACTGTTATGAATGACCATTTTCAGAATCCATTCAGTTGTGTTTCCAGGGAAACTCTATGAGCTAAAAACTTTCAAACAATAACTTAGAGTAGCACAAGTATGGACAGCCACAAAAACCCATCTGTATGAATGCTTTGTGATATACACGCACTCATATAAAGCCATCACATAAGAGATCTTGAAACTCAACATTCTCATCCACAATGACATTGGTCACTATCTTTAAGGAGAAAGGTACCTGTTATTTATTTATTTTTAATACGTATTTTTCATTAGTACATGTTTGTGGTACATAATGAATACATTCATCATAAGGAGTTGGTGCAGATATGTATTGCATCTTAATTCTTGTCACTAACACTTCCCCTGCCCTCCCTCCTTTCTCCCTCTCTTCTTAGATCCCCTTTCCATCTGTAAAATTCACTTCCCTGATTTCTATCATCTCTTATTTCGCTCTTTTAATTATTTATACTTTGGGTTTCTCATATCAGAGAATCCATACAATATTTAACTTTATGTATCTGATACATTTCATTTAGCATTATGGTCTAAAGGTACATCTATATTTTTACAGATGATTCAAGTTTATCTTTCTTTATGGCTGAGTAGTACTCCATTGTGTATGAATATATTTTCTTTACCCATACATCTGTTGATGGACAAGGTTTAGCTATTTTAAATTGTGCTGCTATAAAATGGGTATCCATGTGTCCCTGTAATATGTCTTTCACTCTTTTGGAAATATACACAGCAGATGGATAGTTGAACTGAATGAAATTTCTATTTTTACAATTTTGAGGAACCTCCATAATAACAGGACTCTGACTGGGCCAGATGGCACACACCTGTAATCTAGCACTTGGGAGGCTGAGGCAGGAGGATCACTGTGAATTCAAGACTAGCCTGGGCCACAAAGTGAGTTGAAGGGCAGCCTGAACTGCACAGTGAAACCTTGTCTCAAAAAGACAAAACTAATCTAATAACAGGACTCTCAAACTATCGTACTGTGATGGGTCTAAAATTCCAGTAGATAGGCTGTTTTTAAAAAGCTTTTAATAAATCATATGAATCATAAAAAAGCTAATTAATTAATTGTGCTGGGATTAAATCCAAAGCCTTCTTACTGAGCTGCATCCCCAGTCTTTTTCTTCTCTTCTCTTCTCTTTCTCTTCTTCTCTCTCTCTCTCTCTCTCTCTCTCTCTCTCTCTCTCTCTCTCTCTCTCTCTCTCCAGACAGAGCCTTGAGAAATTGCTCAAACTAGGCTGGAACTTGCAATCTTCCTATCTCAGTCTGCTAGAGTGCTGGGATTACAGGCAGTGCTATCACACTTGTCCCAATCACACATTTTAGAGATGTTTCAGAAATGAAAGTATGCTTGTGAATTGTTGATTTTCTCAAAGTAAAATGTGGGCACCCTCCCAGATCTGCTAGGAGGCAACCTTCTCATCAGGGTGTCCAGTTTAGCACCAACTTCCAAATATGCACAGGAAGATGCAGGATGCAGATTTTGAAGCTAAACAGCTCTATCTTTCTTCTTAGTCCTGCCTGATACCTCCTTTCTGACTCTATAAAGAGCTGTGAATCTTGATATTCAGGATTCATTAGCCTTCGTGACTTCAGTTAAAGATATTTTGGTTTTATATTTTCTGAGAGTAATGAAATAGCAAGCAGAAGAAAACACTAGAAATAGCCTTGTCTTATCACTTAGAAATAGAGAACCTAATGGGAAAACTGAGATAAATTTCTGGCAAGGTAATGTTTTGTGTGTTTATTTTTCTTCCAGAACTCTAAATAGTTGCTTTGGCAGAGTGACTGCCCCGTAACTGCCCCCTCCTGAAGTCTCAGAGGTGTTTACAGAAACCGAAAGTTCAGCAGTACATTTCCATGAGCTCATTACCAGCTCAAGTCGTGCCTTTTAGACTTTACATGTACAAATGAATACGCACATAGGATAAGGCTTTCAGGTTGTATTTTAATTACAAATAAAGGAGCTGAAGTCAGATATTTAATTACTGTAACAGCAGGGTGTCTTTAGAATCCCTGCTTTGGTCATTATTATTCGAAGCAACTCTAATGCTATTTCTTGCCTGCCTCTTTATGCTAATCATCCTAGTCCACCTTGCTCCGCCTCCTTCCAGCCCCCCTTAAGGACTGTACGTGTCCAGCTGTCACAGAGGGTAACTCAGACCAGGCGAAGAAATCACTTGATTTATCCCCACAGCACTTGTTTCCTTTGTGTATGTATAACTCTAGCAGTCCTCTCTAAATACTGGAGGAACTGGATTTCACATCAGTGGAAGGCACTGTGCCTTGCCGAAACTGTAATCTGTTAGAAATAGTTACTTTGGGGGATCTTACACTACGAGAGAGGACAGTTTCAATTTACTCTGAAGTGAAAGAAGAGCTAAATCTTGTTTTTGCCACATGAATTGGCATCTTTATATGTAAGGGAGGTAACATTGGTAAATATTTATTTCAGGAATCATGTCTAGGAAAATCTTGGAAGTTTACTAGAGTAGTAAATGTTTTACGTGTCAAGCAGGATCTGCATGTGAGTATGGGGTTCTGCATGCCTTCTGAGAACCATTTTAGGTGACTGGCAGGGGGCAGGAAATGTTGTTGTAATCCTTAAGCCACAGGCAGGCTGCTAGTACCATGTCTGCTATTCGGAGGAAAGGCAGCAGCCACCCGTTCGCCAGTTTGCACATGTGTCAACTGGAGCTGCAGGAGGACCGGCAACAGCAAGGTGAGTCAACCTAATGAGTTCTGTGTTTTGTGACCTTCTGTCCATTTGCATATCCGGAAGAATGGTGGGCTGGCACAGTATCTGTGGGAATCTCTGATTATAAAATTCTTTGTAATCTTCCATTTTTATTTCAAGAAGTATAGTAGAGAGGCAGAAGGATGCATTAACTTAGATTCACTATTGATTTTTAAAAGATTATCGAGAATTGAAAGACTATCAAGACAGCATATTCCTTGGAAACTTAGATGTTTAAAGGTCTAGCCACTGGTAGTTTTTTAGTCTGATATATTTTGTGTCATTCAAAACATGTGTCTCAGCAAAGCTGCATTGGTTATAGGAAGGATTTAGCTGAGAGTAGCTGTTATTTAGCCTGGAGCTGTCCCCCTGGTCTTGTCACTAGAGTGTATTTTTGGACCTAGTTTAAGCCTAATTTTGTCTGGATTTCTGGTTCATCAGTTTTTGGGAAATATAAATATGTTCTTGGTTCTTTCCTTTTTATGGTGTAGAGGCAACAGGAAATGGACAGGAAAAGGGTCATATCTCACTTGATGGGTGCTCATTCAAAACTAAACTATCCCACCTCACAGCCATTTTCATAAAGTCTTTTAAATTTTTAAAATCTGCTACCTAGCCAGATGCATTGATTAGTGGCAGATGGTTGACATGAATACACAAGATGATTTCTCCAATCCACCGTGTCAGGGGTGGCAGGGACACTCATAAGAAAAGCTAGGTACTCCTAGAGATAGTGTCATCACCTCCCAGAGGTTAAGACATTCCTAATGTCACCTCAGTAGCCTGTGATGGATCTGTTTATGTATGGATCTAGGCTGTGAGCTTTTTGTTTATTTTTCTGTAGACACAGTTTTGGATTTTAGTGGCATGGACAGTGGTGGCTAATGGGTCAAAACCTTCCACTTGTGTGAATGTGTCAAGCCATCTCCCTGAATGAGTCCTGCAGCTCTGTGAAGTGATTTCACACCTATACAGGCTTAGTAAGGCACAGGTAGAAAGTACTTTTTGTTAAATGTAAACTTTTCAGGCCACTCTGTACTGTCAAGGTTTAAAGAAATCATTTTGAGCCCACTACCTTAGAAAGTAAAGTTCTGGGATGCAGGAGGGCTGAGGTACAACACTTCAAGATGCTCTTGTTTCTCTACTAATACACATTCCTAGTTCATTGGGGTTTTTTGGGTTTTTTTTGCTTGCTGTTCATTTTGTTTGTAATATTTAAAGCTGATATAATATTTATTGGAAAAAATTTGGTAAGAGTAGCTTAAAGTAGATGTTAAAATAATCACCTGTAATCCCATGACCCAAAGATAGTTGCTATTAATATTTTGAATATTCTTCTAGTAGCCTTTTCTTCAATATATATGTGTAAGATTTTTTGCTAGATTTTTAAATAAAAACAGACATTCTGTACACAGTGTCTTGTAAACTGCTCTTTCAGTTAACAACATGTGATGACCAAATTCCCATGCCATTATGTGCAAGAAAATGGCCTTATTTTTATGATTCTTTCATATGGACTCAGCAAAACCTCTTAGACAATTCCCTACTGGTAGACATTTTATTTATTTCTACTTTTTGCTATTATAATTAATAACATGTTAAACCTGAACTAATGGATAAGTCTGTGCAGAGAAATATGTAGAACTGTGTATTCAAGAATTATACATTTTTTACTTTTTGTTTTTTTTGTTTGTTTTTCTTTTGGAATGATTCTCCAATTATCAGTGAAGGATATTTTTCAATAACACTGTTTTCAAAAATTCTTTCCCAATTTACAAGTGGAAAATAATATCCCACTGTTGTTTTAATTTAAGGCAGGCTGTCTCGATGGTTTCTTCTTTACTGGTCATATTCAGAGAAGCCTGGAAATATCATTATGATGACATATTTCCTAAAATACCAACAAGACTACAAGTCCAGTCTTCTTTCTCAGACTGAAGATTTTTGCCTAGAATATTTTGAAAGCAACCATATTCTTCCATGGCTGAGTCTCAAAATATCTGCCCATGTAAACCACAATTCATACAATTGTGAGGCACGTTAAGGCAGCTCATACTGGCCATGTCTGCTATGAGAAACGTCATCAGGAGATTTGAGTTGTTAAGTGACAATAGTAGTGTTTGCTATGTTTTTAAATAGCATTCAAATTACTGGAATTTAAAAGTTTACATTTACTCATTTCTGGAAATTAAAAGTACTCATTTAGTACAGTGGTCAGATTTTTTCCTGTATGTTATATTTGCACCTTGGTATTATGCAAAGTTCAGCAAAGGTCCAAGGAGGCAGAGCCATTCATTTTAGAGAGTGAGGTCTGGCTGTGGGTTTGTTAACAGAGGCAAACTGGGTTCATGGCTTTGGCCTTGCCCCAGACAGACCAATCCTACAGCTCTCTTATTTAGCTCATGTGGATGATGATGAATTGACTTTTAACTATTCTGAGACCATAACCAGCTTCAAAACACACATATATTTTAACTCTTCATGCCCCATTCCAAAGTGCCTTATGTTGACTCTAAAGTATTTGACTCCACCTAGTCACCCTAAAAATACATGTTTTAGGATGATCACATAGATGAAATTTATATATTCAATAATTATTTGGGCAAAACTATGTACAAGGTATTGTGTCAAATGCTAGGTGTATAAACTAAACTAAGTCGGCTAAATCATGGTTTTCTGTCTACATAAAGTAATTTCTTCATTACTTGTTGCTGCTGGTAGCTTCCTTTATAGTATTTTCAATCTATTTATTGATCCTGTGACCACATTCATAATTGTTAATGTATATTCTTACAAAGTCTCAGCAAAGCTCATTACACATTTCATGTATTAGGCAGACAACCACAAATGTTTTATAGGACTTTAAAATTTTACAAATGGCTTTATTTTTACATTGTCTCATTTAATTCTTATAATAGTCAGGTGAAATAGTGTATTAGTGGAGTGGGGAGAGAATCACCAGGCTGAAGACCCAGGCAAAGAGCTAATATCACAGAAGTCTGTTCCCTGTTGCTCTGGGGATATCAGCCTTTTTTTCTCCTTGGGCCTTCACTGGATTGGACAAGGCCCACTCACATGGTGGAAAGCAATCTGCTTGACTCATAGTCTACCAATTTAAATGTAGTCTCATTCCAAACCCTCTCACAGAAACATGCAAAATATTGACCAACTATCTTGGTCCTGCAGCTCAACCAAGTTGACACATAAAATTAATCATTACAGATAAGTATGATTAACTTCACATTTAAAGATGTGGAAACTAAGAATTTTCAAAGTCAAGTGGCTGTTTCAAGATTATGCAGTTATTAATGGCTAATTTCAGTGTTTATTTTTCCCTATAGAGCTGTCTCATAAAATCTATGACCGTAGTGTTATATTTATGTTTTCCATTGATCCATATCAGAGAAACTTCTCTCCAGATTCTCAAAATGTCTTGAAATTCCTCCTGGCTTTCTTTGTATGTGCTGACACCAGTTTTGGAGTAAACTACAGTTGAAGTCAATTCTGACACTACCCCAAATCAATGAAGACCCCACAAACTCAGGGCTCAGTCTTAAAGGATGCTCCATTTCAGACAATAGCCACACATTTCAGGTGCCTCCAAGCCACTTTCACTTCTGCCAAGCCAGCCACAAATTCAAGGTTTCTCACAACTCCTTTAGGTTTGGTCATGTGTTAAAACAGCTCACAGAATTCAGGAAAGCTCTTTACTTACAGACTGCCATTTTATTTTCTATCATTAAACAACCTGATGCAGAGATACAAAGCACAAGGCCTGGGAGGATCATGGCCCAAGAGCTGTGAGATTCTGGATATATTTGGTTCTTCATGTACTTTCTCAAGGCAGTTTCTTAAAATTCAAGAACTTGCACAAAACCAGCACAGATGAATGCCCTCAATGATTCCTTTATTCAACACCTTTTTACTGCATGCCCACCGTGTGCCAGATACTATCTATGTTACATCTGTAGTATTATTACATCTCTATAACATCTGTATTACAAACTGAGACTATAAAGATAGTTTTTTCCAAGGTTGTTTTCTAGCAGTTCTGCTAAGGAATTCCATAATAAAAAGTAAGCTAATAATACTTTTTCAATTCTTTGGGGGAAAGAAAACTTCATTCAATTCCATGAAACTCTGACTTTGCATTTTTCATCATTCTTTATATTTTAGTAAGATGGCTCTGGAGGGGTTTGGAAAGCAATAAATCTACATAGTTGAGAACTTCAGAGAGATGAATTTAAAGGCTGAGGAGTGTCTATGTACTATGCCACAAATTCGCTTGGAATCTAAACCACAAAACACAAAATTTGTTTAGATAGTTTGAATATACTCTTTCCTTTACATGCTTTCTGCATATATTCATGAATGCACTTCATTTAAAGCAGCTCATGAATTTGAGTGCTGAGCAATAAACATATAGGCCTAGAAAAGAGAATAATAATTAAATTATGCCCTTTATATAAAAAGATAACATAAAAAATACATGTTATGCCTCTCAAAATAAACTTGTATTAGCTTTCTTTTCTTATGCTGCTAAAGTAGTGATGCTGCATAAACAACATAACATCTTTGAAGTGATACATGGTTTAAATGGACTGGTGTTAAATGTAGAAAACTTGTACGTATTTCTGTTTTCTGTTACCAAAAAAGAACCTCAAAAAGGCTCAACTGAGTTTTGTTTTATCTTCAGAGCCATTATTAGCATTGATAGCCACAAATCGTTAGAGACAAATATAGACCATTTTAAGTAGTTAAAAAAGAGAAAATCCGGGGCTGGGGATTTAGCTCAGCGGCAAAGCGCCTGCCTGGCAAGCGCAAGGTCGTGAGTTCGGTTCCCGGTACCGGAGAAAAACCAAAAAAAAAAAAAAAGAGAAAATCCACATTTCTATAAACTATTGGTCTTCATCATGTTCAAGTTGCTACATATTACCAGAATCATTTCCATAATAAACTTGTCTAACAACTGTAAGATATGTGAA